ACCTGATCAGCGTTAACAGTGTTAATTATGGTATTTTTAACTGTGTAATTCTTTCAAAAATTGTTTAGTTTAATTAATTTTCACATATTAGGAAAGGCGCTAAGCTATGCAGCAAGTTACTATAATGCTAATAATTATAGATAATTTTAATCACTACACACTCTGCTACACAATAGGACGGATTTCTGTTTTTAGAGCAGGACAGGGGTAGGAGAGCTTAGACAGAGGTGTAAATTAGAGGTGGGCGTTACCGGGAATTTTTAATCGATACTATGCTAAGTAAATACAGTCAGTATCACCGATATTGATACGATAACGATACTTTTTAACATTTTAACTTGATGTATCATGGAACCGTTGACCTTTCTGTGTTTTTGTGATTTTTATTTTATTTTATTGTTGCAATTAAATATTAATAATATTAAAATTGTTCTGTTCATAGTGTTTTTTCCTAATCTACCTCTTATATAATTTCTTTCAATCCTTATGTAATTTTGTTTCTATTATGTGTACTTGCTTGTTGCTTCCATCCATCCATCCATCCATCCATCTTCCTCCGCTTATCCGGGGTCGGGTCGTGGGGGCAGCAGCTTAAGAAGGGAGGCCCAGACTTCCCTCTCCCCAGCCACTTCTTCCAGCTCTTCAGGAGGAACCCCAAGGCGTTCCCAGGCCAGCCGAGAAACATAGTCTCTCCAGCGTATCCTGGGTCTTCCCCGGGGCCTCCTCTCGGTGGGACGTGCCCGGAACACCTCACCAGGGAGGCGTTGTTGCTTTAATTCTATAAATGTCCCCATCGTTGGATAAATAAAGGATTAGCTAATGTTAGACTTCTTAGATAACACGTTTAATGGGATAAATGCACTGGGTTCTTTCAAGGTCTTAAAGTTGTAGGGAAACGGCGCTTCCAACTGTTGCATTTCTGAATTCTCCGGAGTGGTGCCTGACTTTACACGAGTAAACGAAGTGAATGTGATTGGTTGTTTATCAATTTCTTTTTTCTTTTCTGCTTAAAAATCATATTTTTTTCTCTGTTATGCCTATTTTAGTAACTTTGATTTTGCAGTAACTGACTCAACATTTGCCAATAAATCTTTGTCCATATTGTTTTATCACCATTGTATTTTTGGCAACTGTTTACATTCCATAATTTGCTGTTTTCAAGTGCGAATGCAATCAGTTCAGTTTCTAAGCTACAGGCAACAGCCTGATGCATTTGTAGCAATAATTGGTGATTTTTAACACACTTCACTCTCTGCTACACTTCCAATGTTTCAACGGTTTGTCAAGTGCTCTTAAAAAGTAAAAAAAAAGCTTTGGATTTTATTTTATGCAAACTTTTAGAAGAAGCAGAATGGCAGAAGATGCCCTGCAAAGTTGTTTTTAGGCTACGCATCGGGTTGCACTGTGTCATCCACATACAGGGGGGAGAACAAGTATTTGATACACTGTTGATTTTTCAGGTTTTCCCACTTGCAAAGCTTGTAGAAGACTGTAATTTATATCATAGGTACTCTAAAACTGTGAGTAATGGAATCTAAAACAAAAATCCAGAAAAATACGATGTATGATTTTTAAATAATTAATTTCCATTTTATTGTTTGCAATAAGTATTTGATCGTCTATTAACCAGTAAGAATTTTGGCTCTCACAGACATGTTAGTTCTTTAAGAAGCCCTCCTGTTCTCCACTCATTACCTGTATTAACTGCACCTGTTTGAACTCGTTACCTGTATAAAAGACACCTGTCCACACACTCAATCAATCACACTCCAGCATCTCCACAATGCCCAAGTCCAGAGAGCTGTGTAAGGACATCAGGGATAAAATTGTAGACCTGCACAAGGCTGGGATGGGCTACAGGACAATAGACAAGCAGCTTGGTGAGAAGGTACTGTAACAACAGTTGGTGCAATTATTAGAAAATGGAAGAAATACAAAATAA